ACCCCCTGCGGGTGAAGGAGGAGGGAAACTTCAGCGGAAAGATCTTCCGTTGGTCTGAGGGGAGTGGGGTGGGCTCTGGGCCAGGCCTCCCTGTTCGAAGTCAGGAGCCTGGAGGAATCCTAGGAGCCCTGGAGAGAGAGGTTGGCAGAGCTTGGGCCACCTCCCACCTCCTCAGTGGTCAGACACTTGCTGCCCACATTTCCCCAGATGCTACAGATGCTGAGCCCTCACTGCCACAAGAACCCAGGAGGCTTTGGTGTATAGCGGAGACTCAAGTGCCTAGGAGTGCAGTCTTGCCACTGATACCAGATCTCAAAGCATTTCCTAGAAGGCCCCTAGAAAGCAACAAACCAGGAGGCGTGGACTGCCTTTGCACCTCCCTGAACCCCAGCTGTCTCCTTTCTCTCTGCTGGCCTTGCCAGCCTTTCCATAGGTTAGCCATTAGGTCATTCATGTATTTGTTCATGTATTCATTCATTCATTCATTCATTCAACAAATGTTTGTGGAGTATCTACTATGAGCCAGTCCCCATGAGCACTGGCTTATAAGAGTGAACAAGCAGACACGAATCTTGAACTCGTAGGCTTTCATGCCAGCAGGGGAGACAGAAAATTGACAACAAATCACATGAAAAAAGTGTAGTTTCAAACCCTAGCAAGCTCTGGGAAGAAGAGGGTAATGTGAGTGTAATGGAGGAAGGGGTGTAATAGAGTGTAATAGAGAAGGCTCCAGGAGGAAATCACATTTGAGCTGCGGTGATGAGAAGTACAGGGCAATCTGTGCCCCCTTTACTCACACCCGCCCAGGCCATATACTGGCCCTGAAGCAGAATTCACTACTGAACCTGGAAGCCCCACCAGTTGCCTCTGATGTGCCCTCTGGGTTGAGCACCTTTTCCCGCCTCAAGTTCCTTTTCATCCAATAAGAGAACCAGTGACCTGAAATGCATGCGGGAGCTCTCAGGGAGATGGAGAAGGCTCAGGAGCTCTCCCCATCCTTAACTCGAGGGGGATGGGACACACATTTCCAAAACAGCGCCAAAGTGGCCCAGTGGCCCTGATGAATAAGAGTTAGAGGCCCAGTCCAGCAACTGTGACCTCCCTCCTTCATTCATTCAATAAATAGTAAGTACTTCAGGCCAGGTAGTGTTCCAGGTATAGGAGATTTGAAACAGACATAGTTTCTGCCCTCAGGAGTTTACATTGTTGAGGGAGACAAATGTTAACCAAATAATCACAGAAAATAAATCTAAGATTGCAGTTATCGTAAGTGCTATGAAAAGCAGTACCTGGTGGTGAGAGTATAAAATAGGGATTTGACCTGGTCAGGGAGCAGGAGGACCTTCAGAAGGCAATGAGGCTGTGCTGAGAGCCGAAGGATGAATCCGAATTAACCAGCTGAAGGAAAGAGTTAAGAGCATTCCAAGGTAGACAGAAGACCATATACAAAGGCCCTGTGCTGAGGCCTCTCAGGATCAACAGAATGACAGGGAGTTTTTTGCTTTGCTGCCATTCTGATGAGTAAGTTGGAGTGAGGATCTGAAGAAGAGAAATTTCTTAGTCTAATCTTGGTTCCCGCCCTCCACTGCTTTTCTGCCCCACTTCTTCCCCTCCGTCTTGGCTACTAAAACTCCACGTTCAAAACAGGGCTAGTGTTGAGTTCTTCAGTAAACCTGGTTCAAGTTGAAGCCAGTGCTGGATCACATTTCCCAGACAAAAGGGAAGAAGACTCACGTTCCGAAGCCCCTGACTGCCGGGGGCAGTTTCTCCCCACTACTGTCCCATCTCAGGTCATCCTTCTGGTTTCTGATCCCAGAAGCTGTTGTCTCAAGCTCTGAATCCAGCCAGCCAGTTCTTTCTCAGGCTAGTTCTCCCTTGTCTAACCCAGGCTCCACCCAGCAGCTGTTTCCAGTCTCTGCACAGAGAAGAGAATCTCCCTTTGGCTTCCCCTGGTCCCTGCTCTGTTCTCTTTGATGGTCCACTTCCCCTTTCACTTCTCTGAGAGACGCTATCCCTGCTCTCCTTTAGTTTGGGCAGTCATTCAACAAACAAACAAATAGAAAGTTTTTTTTCCTGCTTATAAAATAGTACACGCTCATTATAGAAACATGAGAAACAGAGAACATAATTTAAAAGAAAAAGCACTCATAATTTCACAACCAGGGGAAACCATCACTAACATTTTTAAATATGGAAGATTTCAAATCTATATAAAAGTAGAGAGAGTGATATAATGAACCTCTATGGGCCCACTATTCAGCCTCAACTAATTCCCTATCTTGTTTTACTTCAGTTTCCACCCCCATCCTCCCTGGAATTATTTGGAAGAAAATCTCAGCCATCACATAATTTAATCTGAGTCCTCACTATCTTTAACAGATAATTCTTTTTAGAAATACATAAGCACTAAAAATATTAATAAACTAATAATATATTAGTAATAAATAATATTAATAAACTAATATTAAATATCCAGTCAGTATTTACATTTTTCCAATTATATATCTTTCTGTTAAGTTTTTTGCATCTTTATCCAAATTAACTAATAATATATTTTTTTTTTTTTTTAGGCGAGGCAACCCTTGGTTGACCTCACAGATTGCAAGGACCTTGTCAGTTTACAATTCCTTACTTTTTACACCTACAGCACCTGGTCTTCCTAGGTGGTCTCCTATCCAAGTACTAACCAGGCCTGACCCTGCTTAGCTTCCAAGATCAGACAGGATCAGGCTTGTTCAGGGTGGCATGGCCATAGACTATGGTCCACATTTTGTATTTGGTGGAGTATCTTAACTCTCTTAAGCTCTATTAATACTTTCAAGTGTATCTTTCTAAATGTTTTTTTAATGCAGTCAAGCAACATGCATAGGCTTCTTTTTTCTTTTTAAATCTGATTTGTTTAAATAAATTGTTTATGAATTTGTTCACAGAATATTGAGAACTTTCATTCCCAGTTTTTTTTTCTTTGTAGTAATCGAGATTATACCATCCATTAATATTGTAGCTTCTTTTTTTGTTATCTTTGCAATATATCATGAAAATCGTCCCATGTCAGTAACGAATTCTTTGAAAGTCATTTAATTATTGCATAATAGTCCCACATATGGACATATCTGTATATTTTAAAATATGGCTAGGCTTTTACTACATTAAAGAATATATACGTGCATTTACATCTATCACAATTAAATCCAGGTTGTTGTCAGAGGTGACTTTTCCAGATTTCTTCTTTTTTTGAGCCTGATGCAGGAAGCATTTGACCAAATCTTAGCCCCTGGGATGCTCCCCCCGCCACACACACACACCCAGCACCCAGGTTACAAGCTCCTTATGGCAAGGACTGTATCTATCATCTTTTAAATCCTAGAGCCTGTCATAGACACTGGCACATAGTGGGTTTTGGAAAGTGGCCAATTAGATGTAGTCTCTCTCTTCCACTTTTATTTTTCATTATTTCCCACATCTTAGGAGAGTCCCCTATACTTGCTGCCAGGGCTCCAGGGCCTCTCTGATGAAGCCCAGTATGTTGCTGTGCATAAGAGCATAGGCTTTAGGGTCACATTAGAGCTGTCTCAGGTTGCAGCTCTGCCTGTTACCAGCTGTGTGAGTTTGGGAATATTTCTCAACCTCTCTGAGCCCTGATTTCTGGAAAATAGGGATAATCGTAACACTTATGTGTAGGTGGTTCTGAGGCTGAAATATACTATATATTACACATATATATTCCAGTCAGCCCAGTGCCCAGAAATAGGAAGCTCTCAGGAAATAGTTCAAAAAGAAGTCTCTCCTACTCTACTCATCTCCTGTCCAGCTTCAAAGAGCTAACAACCTGTCCATGTGCTTGGGCAGTCATCCAACAAACAAACAAATAGAAAGTAATTTTCCTAGAATCCTCCTTATAGCCCGGCCCACCATGGTTCCAGGCCCACCCTTCCACTCGCCCTTATTCCCTCAACACTACTACCTACCTCCACAGGGTGTACCCCTAACCTGTGGTATCTGACCCTGTTGTCTACCCCACAGCCTCAAGGCTCTCCCGGCTGCCCACCCCCATCTTCTCTCCCTACTCTATCCCCATTAGGCCCTTTACCTAGGCCTGAGCCTGTCTGCCTCAGCCCTGCGCCCTCAGACAGGCCCAGAGAGAGCTCAGTGAGACTGCAAGTCAGGAATTCTGGATTTTCTTGGAGACAGAGGGGGCTGAGGCCTCATCACAGGGCTCTTGTCCTCCTAGAGGTAACCCAGCCATCGGTCCTCTCACAGGAACAAGCGCGATCTTTAAATACATAAATCTGATTGTGACAACCCCCTTTGAAACACCTTGGTGGCTTTCTGGAGCTCTTAGAATGAGACCAAAACCTTTAGTGTCTCTACTCTGCCGCCCCAAACCCTGACGCCACCTCCCCTTGTGGCAGCCACACTGACTTTCCCTTAGTCCTGCTAACTCACCAAAGCCTCAGGGGGCGTATTACTTTTCCCGGCCTCAGCTCGTATTACCCGCTCTGCCTGGAAAGCCACTCCCACAACACTATACCTTCTCCTGATAGCTTAATTTTACCCCTCATTTTTTGCTTTGAAATGTTTTAGGCCTATTGAAAAGTTGAAAGAATAGCATGGTGAACATCTGAATACTCTTTTTACCTACATTCATGAGTTATTAACATTTTTGCACATTTGTTTTATTTCTCTCTCTCTCTCTGTCTCTCTCTCTCTACACACACACACACACACACACACACACACACACACACCCTTTGAGGCTTGCCCTGCAGCCCCTCTCCTGGTGCCAAACCCTCATAGTAACCTAATGCTCTCCATAGGCCTTTTCCCATTCACTCAGGCAACAAATATTTATTGAGGAACTTCAGTGTGCCAGACAGTGCCAAGAGTCACCTAATAGACTGTGTGTCAGGGTGCTTTTCCATCCCCTCAAAAACAGAAATAATTTGATCCTTGAAAATTCCAAAAAAGCATGGAAATAGTCACTATGGGAAAATCCCGAGTTAGGTTGGAATTGCTTAGGGTTCTTCTATGGGTTAGCATTTTTCACAATTATGAATCACTTCATGGTTTTTTCAACACTTAAAGTATCTAAAAGTCTTAATCAGGTGCTGCAGGAGGAAGCAGGCAGACAGTCCTGCCACACAGAGCTCTATCTGGTGGTGGAGCAGACAGTACAACAGCAGTAAAGTGGGACCACAGGGAGACACCTGGCCCAGCCTGGGTGGGCTTAGGGATCCCCTCTGACTAATTGTATTCGAGTTACGAAGGCAAAGGGTGGGAAGTGGCATTCTAGAGGCCAGTGTCTGTCCTGCTGCACTGTAAGAGAGAGATTGAGGTACTGGGGAAGTGCCTCAGAAGAGATTTGATGGCCGAATGTCTGGGAGGGCCTGGGGCTGTTCTTGTAACATAGGAGGGACAGGTTCTTGTGTGGATTTTATCCTGAGGGCTTAGCAAGCCTCCCAGCTCTGGGGACTCCTGGGGTCTCCTGCCCCTGTCCTCCCCGCAATGTTCTCACCCCTTTCTCTGACTCTGACACATCCTCTCCCATTTTCACCTTCACTGCCCTGGGGAGAGGCTCTGATTTCCCTCACTAGGATGGTAAGCACTCTCTCTCATGGGGGCCAAGCTGCCGGTTATCCTGCTTCATCTCTCTAAGGGCCCTGGCTTCAGAGACATGTGTCTGAGACAGTAGAGAGCTGTTTGGGGGACTGACAAATGGGGGTCTGGCTTCTGAAGGATTGTATAAACTATCTTCTACGTTGCTGAAAGGGAGTAGGTCTTGGGCATGGGGTAGGGATAGAGTACTGGATCTGGGAGCTCTGAGAGAGGACAGATGGGGCAGGAGCTGGGCTGGCCTGGGACACTGCTCACTATCCCAATCTCTCTCCAGCTCCCAAAATGGCGACGAAACCGGCACCTGGCCCAACAACCAGTTTGACACAGAGATGCTGCAAGCCATGATCTTGGCCTCTGCCAGTGGTAAGTTGTGCCAGCGTGTGCGTTGGGACGAGAGAGTTCTGGAGTTTGGGGGCGTCCCCACAGCCACCATGCCCTGAGACTGGCTATCAACCTGCCTGACTTCTCCAGATCTTTCAGCTGGTTTTAGAGGACTCATAATTCCGGAACATAAAGCGAAGTTAGAAACAGCGGAAGAACTGGGGGGCCCGGGATGCCCGGGGGGCAGTGAACAAAGGAAAGACCCATCAAGGAAATGTGGAGAGTAGTGGTTAAGTGTCTAGCTCTGGAAAGGGACCGCATCAATCCAGTCCCAGCTCTGCCACTTAAAATCTTTGACTTTGATCACTTTGCTTAATCTCTATAAACCTCAGTTTCCCCAGCCAAGAAAATGAGGGTAGTGACCTCACGGGGCTGTTGTGAGGATTAAATGAGATGACACCACAGCGCATGGAGTCCTGGGTCTGGCACACACAAGCCCTCAATCCACAGACCCGGGTGGGGATTCTCCCAGCAGAGAGAGCACACTTTGAATTTGTGAGACCCCTTCTCTTTTTGCTGCTCCTCCTACCTTCAGAGCAGGATTTTGGTTTTCCCACAGGCTAACAAAGACTTCATATGCCATAGAAATTCGGATGTGTTGTCCCTAGAGAGTCACAAGGGTCCTGAGCAGGGGAAGCAGAATAATATCCTCAGGAATTAAGAGCGCAGGTTTTGGAGTCAGGCCAACATGGACTCAAATCTTGGTACCCGATTTATCTGCAGGTCCTCAGACGAGTTACTAAAACCCTCTGGGCCTCAGTTTCATTGACTATAGCAGTGGTCCCCAAATCCCGGTGGCAACCAGTTCCAGGTCAGTGGCCTGTCAGGAACTGGGACGCACGGCAGGAGGTGAGCGGGGTGAGAGCTAGCGAAGCTTCATCTGTATCTGCAGCTGCTCCCCAGCGCTAGCATCACCGCCTCAGCTCCGCCTCAGATCATCAGGCATTAGATTCTCATAGGAGCACTGGTCCCTGGTGCCAAAGAGGTTGGGAACCATTGGACTATAGAATGGATGCAGTAATAACATATCTCATTATGTTATTAATGAGATGCCTAATTAGTGAGTGCCTAATATAAGGCCTCAGCACAGAACTGGCGGAGAGTAGGGGCACGATATATAGTGACTAATATTGATTATTATCTTTATTGACCTATAGGGGTAGATAGAAGGCCGAATTAGAATAATGCCTATTAATCAGAACTAGCTTCTGGAACAGCAAATCCTGGGCTTCTGTGGAGGCTGGCGGAGGAATAAGGCACTGGCCTTACATAGTGAACAGAGAGCCCTGCCCCACAGCACATCTGGAGGGCTGGTAGGTAGAGAACCAGGTAAAACCAGAAGAATAATCACCATTACCATGCTTGTGTATTGTCCCGGGCACATGCTAGACAAACGTTATGGGCCTCACGTCAATGAACCCTCTGAGCAGCTCTGCAAGGCAGGTCTAGTTCTTACATTTGACAGATGAGAGAACTAAAAAGTCACTTCTCCAAGGCTGCAGGTTGGCGATTCTAACCCGGCCCAACTCCCAAGTTCATGCCTTTTCTGCTACAGCGACCATGTCTGCCTCGAGACCCAGCCTCAACTCCCCTTTCAACTGAACAGGTCTGGAGCTGAACTCTACCGTCCTGCACTGTTCTCCCAGATTAGGGTCGCCAGATAAAATGTAGGACGCCAGTTAAATTTTAACTTCAGATAAAACGGCAAATAATATTTTCGCACAAATAGTACTGAGACATACCACACTAAAAAATTGGACATTGTTTACCTGAAATTCATATTTTTATTTGCTAAATCTGTCAGGCCTCCCCCAGATGACCGTGAGGCCGACTGGGGCCAGGCCTGTGGTTGGTGAAGGGGAAACAGAACAGGAAAGTGGCAGAGAGAGCTGGGCCCAGGTCTGGGGGCTGGAATTCTAGAGCAGCCAGATGCGGAGTCTGAAAGAAGGAGGCAGCTGGGTCTGGGGAGATGCCAAGTCGGGCTCTTGATGGAAGTAAACAGACAGTCAGGTATATTTAGCTCTTGTGGCCTTGAGCCCTAAGGCCAGGAAGCAGGCATTTTTGGCCTAAATCCAGATTTTAAAAACAGAAATGGAGTATTTATGGCCCGAAACCCTCCCAGAAGGTCTCCGGGGTCACTGCAGGCTGGCTCCCCTCTCAGGGCTCCCGGCTCCTGCCCACACAGGGCCTGACCTGCATGTGAGCCTCGGCCCCCCGGGGAACAGACCCCGAGGGTGGAGGTGGCAGGGTCAGGCCCTACTCTCACTTTCACAGCCGCTTTCCTGACCTGGACCTGGAGCCAGAGAGGTTCCTGGAGCCCAGCCCAGCCCAGCCAGGCCTATGGGGCTGCTGAGGGGGAGTAAGAGGGAGAGGCTGAGTCCACTTGGGAGGCTTTTTAAATAAACAGTTCAGTGAGGAGGTGTGCTCTCAAGGAGGCTGTGGCTTGCAGTTCAAGAGGCTGAGACCTGGCTTGACCAGGCCTCCCTGGGCTGCTGTAGAGTTGCTGCCCTCAGCCCTGGGGCGGGGAGGGCAGCGGGTGAGGGGAGGTTACAGTGTCTGGAGCTGTTTCTCTGAGGAGAGGCCAGCACGGGAGAGGAGGCCAGCACCGCTTCCACCTCCTCCAGGCCAGAGGTGCCCAGGTTTTCTTGTTGTTCTTCAAAGTCTTTTTTTCTTGGACCAAGGGAAGACCCTGGTCCCTGCCCAGTATGGGTCTTGCAGGGGTGGGAGAAGGAGCCATTGGAGGATTGATTCCAAAGAAGTCAGAGCCCACAATCCAACTTCTCCCCTCGGATTTGTAGATAGGGAAAATGAGGCCTGAATCACGCAGGGCAAATGAGGCCTGAATCACGCAGGGCCTCCACCAAGGTCACACAGCGCCTTTAGTGGCAGAGCTGACCAGACAAAACTCAAGTGCACGCCGTAGGGCCCAGGCCAATAGCAGGCCTGTGCTTCTGGGAAGGAGGTGGCAGGGGATGGCTTTGTCGTTTTCCCCCACTCAGGTGTTCTCCAGGGATGTTGGGTGCACCTAGGATGTGGGTGGGCCAGGCTTCCGGTTACCCAGTCAAGCCCTTCCTGTCTTTCTGCCTCCCTTCTCCCTCGTTCTCCCTATTTCCTTCCCCCACCTACCCCCAGCCCCTGAGGTCTCCGGTTTAGCCCTGAAATCACTCTGGAATCCTACCTCTTGAAGCCAGATCTGGCCCCCTCCCCCCAGACCCTCCATTCCCAGGCTGGAAAAGGGGCCGCAGTCAAGGACCCGGCTCCCTCCTGGAGTCAATTAGGGGAAACAGAGAAATGTCAGTGGAATGAAAAGGCTGGCGATGGGGCCCAGCCTGGGGAAGGAGAGCAGGAAGTGGGCGGCGGCCCCCTCCCACCCGAACCCTCTTTCCCAGCCCCTGACGGCCCTCCCGTCCATGGGACTTGAAATGGAGGCTGTAAAAACCGGAGCGCTGGAACGAGGAGGCGGGAAGACTCGGGCTCATCTCTCCCTTCCTTCTCTCATGCCCCTCCCCGCTCTTGTGCCGCTCTTTGAAAATATTTCCTGTCTCCCTATTTCTCAATCCCTGGTTGGTGTCCCAGGATTACTCAGCCTCTCCAGCTTTAGTCACCCTCTCTACCCACTCCCAGGGTCTAGGGTGGGGGTGGGGGGAGGCTGGGGAGGAAAGCTCTTCT